TTTATTTAATATATTTAATAATATTATTTATTTAATATATTTAATAATATTATTTATTTAATATATTATTATTTAATATATTATTACATGTTTTCAAAAAATTAAACCACCAAACGCAGTTTCAGTTTTTATTTTAAAATTGAAATCAATCTCTAAATAAAACTACCAAATGCATTTTTAGAAATAATTCAAAAATGAAACTAAAAACGTTTTCATTTTCATTTTCGTACAAAAAATAAAAACGTTTTGGAACCAATTCTAAACGCACCCATAAATAAATTGAGATGAAATTCAACTAACAATTGATAAGATAATCAAACATGGTTCAAATAAAGCTACATCAAGCCTTAAAATATAAAGTCTAGCTCAACATAGAGGAATCCATAACCAAAATCACAAATTTAAGAATAAAAACTAAAAACTACAATAAAAAGGGAGAAGGAAGAGAAAACTCTTGTGAAGATGAGCTTCAATTCTTCAAATAATCAAGAATCTCTCCCAAGCATTCTTTAAGAATCTCCAACTCTAAGCTTCTCTCTCTAGGAATCTTTGTGCCTCTCATCCTCTATCAGTTGAGAATTAGGGTTTCTCTTGCTTAAGTATGCCTAAAATTGGAGAATAACTTTATCTAAACTCATCCAAGAGTCAAAAATGACCATCCAAAATGATCAAGGGCCAAAAAAGGGCCCAATGGCACGTTTCAACGCAGTAGGGGAAGTGGCTGCGAGCACCAGTCCCTGCCCAAGGCTGCTCTTGGGATTTTTTCGCCCCGTTTTGTGTTGCGGTTTGCGCGGGTCCTTGCCCTCGTCCGCGGCTCATCCCAGTAGCTTCTAAAACTCTAATTTTTTCCTTGTTTTCACCTTATTTTCTATTTATTAATGATTCCAACAAAAACACATCAAACTAACAAAAGTGCTTGAAAATTCACAATTAAAAGAGACTTGAGGATAAAATGAGCAGTCTATCAAAATTTGTGGAGTAATACATTCGATTTCTTATGAGATTATAGTCAATCCCTATATATGCATGCGCGTGTGTTTGTTTTTGTGATGAAAAGGAGGATTGAAATGGTCTTAGCTCTTGAATATTCATCCAACGATATTAATAATAAAATTGAGAAAATTAGGCATTCTATTATTGGGTTTCCTCGCTTGATTGAACAACCCAAAATTCAGTCATTTCAATTACATTAGTTTTTTAAGTAGCTAAGACTCCGGTTTTTGGCCACTTGTCTATAGTTTAGTGGTTGCTTTATTGAATTTGCCTCGTTAATAAGCTTATAATTCCGACTTTGAAACCCAAACATTTATTATATTCTAACAAGGTGTACTTCCAGTGTACCCTTATAAAAAGTTAAACTGAAGATCACTGGAGTGTGGAATTGTTTTTGTTACCATTTAACAAATTTACCGGTAATGTGATGATTCATATGTGTTGTTCTTTTCTGTTGTACATTTCCTGGTTTTTCAAATAAAGGCTTGAATATTAGATTGTTGTACAAAGCAGTATCTTCTGCAGAGTAGGAAACTAACAAGAAGTTGAGCAAACAAATAGCTTGTTCTTTTGAGTGAAAAATTTTAAAAAAGATAACTCGAGTTACAATTTTATTCGAGTTCATGTTCTTTTAAGTTTAAATTCGAGTTCAAACTCGAGTTTAGGACTAAAACTCGAGTTTAAGTTTCCCCTTCAACTCGAGTTCAGAAACTCGAACTCAAATTAATGAACAGTATTTTTTCTATTCTTAAAAATGCTATAACTTTTTTGTTTTAATTCTGATTGAGATGATTTTTTTTCTATGCGTTGACAATGAAAAGACGAATAAAACCCGACTCATATAATTTATTAAAAATTTTCATCAGCATTGAGTTTTTATTAAAATACTATCTAAATACAAATTCAAGTTTTGACTCATTCAAACACAAACTCAAAAAGATTCTTATCTCAAACCATAACTCAAATGTACACAACCAAACACAAACTCAAATTATAAGTTCAACTCAAATTATAACTCAAATTTAATTAAAAAATTATACTCAAATTAAACTCCAAAAAAGCAAGCTGTTTCGTATACAAATCGTTAAATAATAAATATAACTAGTTGGGGAAACACTAAACAGTGAATGATAAAGTAATTGCCTTGCAGTTGTCAGACACATCTTGTGGACATGAATTTGTGGGGATATGGCCATTAAAAAATGAATATTAACCCCTAAAAAAAAAAGGAAAATTCTGTGCTCAAAAGAAGAAGCCCACTAATACAACGCAACGTCTAAATCACATCAAAATTATGTTAGGACATAAAAAATACATGCGAATTTTATAGAGCTTAATGAAAATTTGATTGTACAAGATTGCGCCTTACTTGTATCTATTTATTCATACATAACGAAAAAATAGAAAAAAAAATTTAAAAGGAAGAGATTAAAGAGTTACACTTTAATCAAGTACTTAAAAAAGGCTTGAAACTTCTCCTGCCTAGAAAACCCCAAAGCATTATAGAATTCAATTTCCATAGGCTGTCAATTTGCTAGAGAGAATCAAATCTCCCTCTTTATGCCTTTCCCATCACAACAAGCCAAAAGGGTTCTTCACATGTCTTTGTTTGTAGTGAAAAAATAAATGAAATCAGCGCCTCTCTGATTGCAGTTGGTCCTACAAGCGAACACTCACGGGCTCATTAGAACATGGTTTACTCAGCTATATAGTTTCACGTTATAAACACAAGTCGACATTATGCAAGAAATGTTTTACTAAAAGCTTCTCCCTAGTTCCCAATCCCATGTTCTCTTCCAATATGGATCAAATTATTTTCCTTTTTCTTCTCTTTACATCCTTCTTTGCACATCCATTTACTCCGACTGCTCGATTTCTACGAGGCCGATCAATAGCGGCGCGTCATTCCTCTCGGATCTCCGTAGTTGGAGCTGTTTATTGTGACACTTGCTCAAGCAATGCTTTCACAAGACACAGCTACTTCCTACCAGGTAATGAATTCTTTAAGACGTTGAAATAGAGTCCACCTTCAAGTTAAAGCAGTAGAGGAGTTTCATAGCTTTTTTAGTGGGGGCATACTCAACAAGTATTTTACTTACTCTGGTCTTTTTTTTTTTTTTTAATATTTATTTTATACGGTTGTAAACTTGGAATAGATTGATTAAATAAAGTTTGGCTCTCAGTATGTTTATTTTATGCGGCCTTGTACCTGAGCAGGTTGACATGGTTATAATCATTTATGAGTCAGGGTACAACCACAACTTTTGTTCTTTAGTAGGGGCGTAATTGAAATTTTTCGAAATCTTACACATAAGCACCATTGAGTATCTGTTTACAGATATAGCTTGACAATAATTCCACTCGCACCTCAAATGTTAAGGTCTTGAAATTCGAATCTCCACATCCCAAGTTTAAAAAAAAAGAAAAAATAAAATCGAGTTAATTATATTGGATTTCTTATATATTGTTCATGTGATGGTTCTTCTAATAATTGATCAGGTGTGGATGTTCAAATAAGATGCAAATTCAAAGTAAACTCACCCAAATCAACAGAGCAAGTCAACTACGCAGTGAACAGAACCACAGACAGATATGGAGTGTACAAGCTTGACATACCATCAGTTGATGGGGTCAACTGCATCAACGGTTTAGCATTGGTCTCAATGTGCCAAGCAAATCTAATAGGGAGCTCCTCATCAGCCTGCAATGTTCCTTCCATAAGAACCGCATCAAATGAGATATCAATCAAATCAGAACAAGACAATCTTTGCATATACAGCTTGAATGCACTTAGCTACAAGCCATCCAAGACGAACACAACCTTGTGTGGGACCAACAAGGAGGAGGAATTGGCAAACTCTATCAACTCCTCAAAATGCTTTTTCCCTTGGCCTCCTTTGCCTTCTTTCAACTTCCCGCCTTTACCGCCTTTGTCATCACTGCCGTTCCCGTCTCTCCCGTGGCCATTTCAAAACCCGCCGTCTTTGCCATTCCCTTTCTCATCACTCCCTCCTTTCCCTCCGATCACATCTCGCTTTTCGCCGCCCCCGTCGCCGCCGGCTTTTAGCCTCTCTGATCCAACAACTTGGATACCTTATAATCCTCCTTCTCCTCCTAATATACCTAATAAAAATCAAAACCCTTAGTATACTTTTATGATTTTTGATTACTTATTTGCTTCCAATTCTTATCTAAGAAATAATTATGTTCAACATCTTGTTACTACTCATCATGCTTGCAAAAGCTTTTTTAATTATGCATGTGATTGGTGGATTTGTTTCATTTCAGTTCATTGTGATACTAAGTTTATGTACAAAATTAGTGTTTATATACTATTTAAGCAGCTATTGCCAAAATCACTGCAAAAGACATGTTTTATGTTACAATTATGCTTCATCAACACAGAAGACATTCATAATGTTAAGATCACTAAATATTTATTTATGGGAAAGAGAGCCCAATTCTCCTCTGCTCAAGTTAATCATAAAGGAAAAAAGAGGTTTCCTCATTATTTTTAAGAACAACTTGAGGACATGCCTTCTTTCTTTAGTATTATCAACATTGACGTAAGCCACAAGTCTCCGGTTCAAAAACAGTAAATTAACTGTGCAGTCACGAAATACATATTATCAGGGTCTAGCATTGGAAAAAAAAAATGCTATTTATTTTTATTCGTAAAATGAACACATGGCATGTAGAGCGTGGTTGCCTTTGTTTATTCTTTATTTAATTCTTATTAGGTGACAATTCTCTTTTACCAACATACGTAACCTTCTTTATATATTAAAAAAAAATTTCTGTCGTGAAGTTTCAAAATTACAACAATTCGTGGTAATACCAGGTCGGTCTTGTTGTTGTTGTTGTTGTTTTTTTTTTTTTTGTTTTTTTAAAAAAAAAAAAAAAAAAAGTTCTCTCTTCACTGCTAACTAAGGTCTTTCAATACAAAGAAACAGAATAAGGTCTCTGAGAATTAAAACAGTTATTGCTCTTTCAATACAAAGAAACAGAATAACATATAAGATTGGAAAAGGAAAAAAAAAAAAAAAAAATTGTTATCTCTTGGCAGTCTCAGAAAAGGCAGAACCTGAGAATTCTCTCTCTCTCTCTCTCTCTCTCTCTCTCTCTCTCTCTCTCTCTCTCTCTATATATATATATATATAGATATATATATATATATATTATATGGATTGGAGGATTATGCTGACTGAATTTACTGTCTCTTCTGTGCCTGTGGCCGGAGGAGTTGCTTGTGCAGTAGCTCAATCCACCAACTCCAACTGCTTCATTGGCTTCAGAATTCAGATTATTCGCCCATAGTGCAAGGCGCCGCCTTTAAAAGTGATCGTTTGCAGGATATGCTGCCGTTTTCTAGCCATTGTCGTCTTTATTTAAATCATGTCGTTTTCAAACGACGCTTTCCTAATATAAATTGTCGTTTTTAAAGTTGATTTGAATTCAGTGGCCGTTTAACCATTGTCGTTTTTGAACTGTTGTGGCTATCAGATTTTCGCCCTCGTCGGAGTGTACTCTTTCCTAATTGGTTCTGATGCTTTGTGCCTTTTTGAACCAAAAAACGGTATCAAATCTACAAGGAAAAACACACTGCCACATTGTCCAAGTTCAAGATCGTGAAAAGATTCTTCGTGCTCTTATATAATATTTTTCCAAGTACTGATGTTAAAAGTTTTCCATTTTGGGGGTAAATTTTTCGTTGTTATGGTAATTATCGTTTTCAGCTGTTGTCGTTTTGTGGGAGATGTTATGCTTAAAGTTATCGTCGTTTTTATGCATGCTTGCCCTTTGTTTCGGCTATACCGTTCTTTCCAAAATATCGTCGTTTTTGCAAAGAGCTTGTCGTTCAAGAACAATTGTCATTTTCTGAAATGTTGTCGTTTCTTAAAGCTATCGTCGTTTTTCAATTTTTATGACCTCTGTTTTCGTTTTTTGCGTTTTTGTAAGATATTTTCATTTATTTGCTGCAATTTGTTCTGCCTTATGATCATTGTCGTTTAGACAAATACTTCAGTTTTTTAACCGTTGATTTGGCCAGATACCACTAATGTTATTGTCGTGTTACCAAAGTACACATGATGATTACTTTATTCTTTCAATTTTAGTAAATGTGTCCCAAAACTATTTAAAATGTTGGCAATTGAAGGAAAGCTGTTAACTTCCGATAAGTTTTTAACAATATCCATCACAATTCACATGTGATGCCTCTCATCTAATATAAGAGGGCATTTTAGTAAAATAACATAGTTTATATTTTAAAAAAAATATAGTTAAATAAAATTCGCATTTAAAAAAAAAACGAGAAACAACGAATGGATATTGCCAATCATTTTCTTCTCTACATTAAATGGAATTTCAATTAGCTATTATGTATTTGCATCTCGTTTTACAAAATTTTTAAAAAATTTGTAAACATCTCTTCTGCGTGGTTCAATCAGTTTTTTTAATCTATTTTTTATTTCTTACGTCTCTAATACAAAATGTAAGCAAAAGAATCCTAACATAACAAAATATTCTTGTGAGGAATGACGAGAAATTTTAAACAATTAATCTATGAGTTTTTCACTTTCCAAATAAGAAAAATATAGGAGAGAAATATGATTTAGATTTTATGCGAAAGTTAAAGAAAACTATTCAATTATAATAATAAAAAGTGAAATATGTACAACAATAATCAGGGGCTCTAGCTCAAAAGGGGTCTTTCCTTCCTTCAAGGCTCAAGCTGTCTCATTTTCTCGCGCAGCTCTTCAATGGTTTTGTTAGCGTCCTGCACCCCAAAAACAAATAAATAATAAGCACTAAATATGACACAAAAAGTAAGAATGGTTTTTTTTAGGGTGTTTTGTAGTCCCCGTTTCGGCGATTTTTTTTTTCCTTTTTCCTTTTTGCTTCTTTCTTCCTCCTCCTCCTTCTTCTTCTTCTTTTTTTTTTTTTTTTTTTTTTTTTTTTTTTTTTTTTTTTTTTACTTCTTTTACTCTTTTTTCTCTTTTCTTTCTTTTTCTTGTCTTTTTTACATTGTCATTTTTTTGTCCTATTATATATATATTTTTGTCTTCCTTTTTTTATTTATTTATATCCTTTTTTGTCCTGTTATACATTTTTTTTAATTTTTTCTAATGAGACCCTAATGACTATGTTTTTTATTTTTACCTACAAATACATAAATAAATGAATTTCGTATATACCATTAAACTCTTGTTTAGTCTGTCCTCTTCCTCTTGTCGTTGAGTCCTTTCCATCGCTAGCATATCGATCAGTGCTATTTGTTCTTTGTCCAACTCTTCAACCTTTTGTTCTGCCTGCCGAAGCTGATTATCAAGCAAGAAAACCAAATAGAAATTCACAAAACTTTTTTCTTAAGAAAAAAGAAAAAAGAAAAAAGAAAAAACCTTATACTTACAAGTCCAATCTCATACTCATTTTGTAAAGTAAATTTATCATTCCAAGTGAACCATTAATATATATTACAACGTTAATTGTATCTCTATACATTTAAGATGTATTTACATACAAGTAACATATAATATGTGGACTATAGTGGCTTATTCAACGTGGCATAATTAATTTGCACTTACTCTAGTTTCAAGGGATTTATTTCTCTCTCTTTCACGATCTAATTCACTAAGCAAATCAACCGTTGCTGGTACTCCATTTTCCGTTGACCTGCAAATTAAATTAGACAGACAAAGTAAAACGAAAAGATTATTGGGTCTTAAAGTATTTTCCACAATCAAATAATGAAAGACATTCAACTTCATGAGTACTACCTTTCCCCTAAATCGCATTTCTCTTCTTTCAACTTTGTTGGCATCTTGGCATTGCAATAAGCAGTTCCTTGTCTTTCTCCATTACTGAAGGTGTTGATCTGTGTTTTTGGAAAGTTAATACAAGCTTTTAGAACCACAATAAAGGAAACTGATTATTTGTCATTATAAAACACAACACAAGTATTTCTAGAAACCGTCCTTCCGAAAAAAACAATCAAAATGTGGTCTGATCGCAAGCTTAGCCCAACGGTAATTTTAACTAGTAAAATAAAGCATTAGAATATATATATATATATATCTATATATATATATATATATTTATATGATCCAAAAGACAATAACATGCTACGTACCTTTACATGCAAATTACTGCCAACCATTTTATGGTCACTGTGATGTTTTGATGCAGTTTCCACACTAGTAGAACCATGGTCATTATTCTCATCTTTCTTCATAGTTTTTTCGTTTTTAGAAGATTTAGATTTAGTGTTGGAAGAATTAGCAGCACGCCGTCTTGGAGCATAACCGACTTTCTCGCAATTTGAAGACCTAACCAAAATACAGTTCCAACAAGTTAAGAACAATTCATCATGTCAAATTATTTGAACACATGAAGATAGACAAAAAAAACAAAAAACAAAACAAAACAAAACACACACGAACCAGTAGTTCTTTTGCATCAAAAGCAACCGCGCCTCGAGCCTCGCAAGTACGAATGTGCGCTCAAATCCTTGTTTGTCATGAGCTGGTTCAATAAAATTAGGTTCCAATACACCTGCAGTAACATCATAAAACAATACAAGAGACAATTAGAGTTATATAGAGTAATTATTAGTTATTGTAACACCAAAACAATCATACTTGACAGAAACTAAGTGCTGATTGTATGTATACCTATAACCCCACGACCATCACTGCCAGCAGCATTCCAAACCCTCCAGAACGGCTGTGTCAAACAACAACTTTTGTTAAACGACATAGAAATTAAAATACTAAAGTGTCAAACTATTAAATACTTGGGAAAATTACGAAATCAATATCCTATTCAATCTTCATGTATGCTTGGCAATGGACGGAAAGGACCCCCTCAGATTGTATCAATCAGTTAAAAATTTTATCACTGGATAATGGGACATTCAAATAAGGTTTTGTGAAGAAAACGATTTATCAAGATAAACTTGGTGCCTAATTTAATTTTCTAACATTAAGTCAATTAAAAGGAAATAAAGGGAGAGATTATAAAGGCATTGACAAGCTGAAGTAATATTTTTGTAGTTCTTAAGAATAAAAGGCTGAATTAGGCCCGAACATCGAATCGAGTGAAATTTTTTTTATTATTTTTTTTTCAATTTCCCTTTCTACTCATTCCATTTGTCAATCTAAAACATATTGTGAAATTAAGCTAACCTTAATCAGCCGGTTCTTGTGGTAGACATTGAAGCCTTGAACGTCAATGTGGGCATACGCATCCTTTACAAACCCAATCTTGACGTTGGCACATATCTGTATCAGCAATGAGAGAGAATATTCATGATCAGGACACTTCAAAGTTGAAGAAAACGACGTAAAACACTACTAAATTAAAGTTTAAATTTTGGGAAACAATACATGAGTATTTCTTGGCATTCCCTCATAAAGTTGGGGTCTGTATGTAACCTCCTCGGTCAACATCATGTCATCCTCTAGATTATGATGTTCGACATCGACCCCCCGAAGAATGATTCTGAACCCTGGTGGAAGCCTAAGATACAGAATTGACACGTAACTCTGCGAGAAAAACTCAATCAGAAAAATAAATAAATAAACACAAACATTAAAAAAAAAAAAAAGTTCGTTCTCTTGAAATTTCATACGCAAATATTAGTGGGAAATTAAGCAAACATACCCTTAGAGAATGCCTGTAAGTTAAGAAGTGTTTAGAGTTGGGATATTGTTTTGCCATTTGTATGTTCTTCTCATTCCTATTGACTCCTCTAATTTGGATGTCCTGCATACAAAAAATAATTATATTAATCACAACAATAATAATATCCTCAAATGAAAAAAAAATATGGTAAGTGCTTACATGGGGATCAGCATCAAAATCAAGTTCAAGTTGTTCTTCTTCATCTTCCCAAAGATTGTATATTACTACGCGTGTACCGTGCTCTTTCATGCAATTGAACTGCAATATTTTAAACAAGTTGCAAGAAACCGTACAAATCATAAGAAGAGAAAATAGGTCAAAAATTGTAGCTTCATAGTTCTAATTATGTCACAAGTACTAGCTATTAAAGAAGAAAAAAAAAAGCTAGTAACACGATCCAAACCTGCTGAAGAAGATGTTCTTCGCTTGAATAAGGAGACCACCGAATGATGGTGGCTAAATTTCTATACCAATCATCAGCAGAAGTTCGCGTCAAGTTCTTCAAGCCATGGTCACTTATCTCGTAGTCAAGCTTCAAAACACAAAACTCAAAACAGTCAAAACAAAAGGACAAAAGGAAAAAAAAAAAAAAAAAAGGCACTACATGTTAAGTCTATAAAAATATAGCAGGTAAAAAAGCAAGATGACAGTTAAAGGATTTGTTCTTACGATGGGAACAACAATATCTTCCTTTCCAGTTCCTCTCAGAAACGAATAGGACAACATTCCAATGCTCTGAGTTGGCCTATACAATCAAAGTTGAAAAAAAGAACAGTAAGATTTGATGCTGGGAGGTAAAATTTATGATCATAGTGATAAAAGTAACTGTAGAATGATCCGAAAGATGTCGCATTTGTGTTGTAAATTAAATCGCGGCACTACTAAAAAAAAAATGTAGATGTAGAAAGCAAATACCTTCTTCCATTATTCCCTGGACATCGTGAAAACACGATTACATCTGCTCCAAGTCTCATAGTACTTGTCTTGAATCCATTTCCATCTATTAAAAAAAAGGGGAAAAGTACAGAGATCAGTTGGATTGCCCGTGAAGATATTTCACTAGCCAATATAAAAAATCTGCAGAGTAAGTTACTATTATATGTTCTTTTCATGACTAAGTCACGACTCAAATTTTTTTATGTGAGAGAAAATATTATAACAAAAAGTTGAATTTGAATTTTTATAAGAGAAAACACTGCAGTAAAAAACTTGAGTTGTAAAAAAAATAAGGTTTAAATTCTAGACAAGTAATAAAAAAATAATAAAAAAAAGAACTTACATTGACCAATAGTGTTTGCCAATTTGCTTTTTGCTGAATACCCAAGAGACATGCACTGCCGCATCTTATCAGGAGTCATCCCGCCACCATCATCTGCAGCCGGAAATTGCACAATATATAAACCACATTCTCATTTATTAGAACACTACTTTTTATACTTAAATATAATATATATATATATATAAAGTATTTTAGTCCATATTTTAAATCCCAAAGAATTAGGAGACCATGCAACCATATTATTAATTGTAGGAGGCACTTACCTTCAACTAGCAACATCTTACTACCATCTTTCTTGTTCTTAAGCATGTCTACGTTAACATAGGTTGCTCCATTACATACCTGGCAACAATCACATATAGGTATTATTACAACGACGTACGAGGAAAATTCAATATGGAACATGTTTTTAAAGCCTTTTCCTAACAAAAACAGAAGTACTAAACTAATAAAGTAAGATCACACACACCTCATCCAGGGAGTTGTCCAGAAGCTCCGCAAAAGCTGCACCCAAAAAAAAAAAAAGATTTAGTAAAAAGGAAAGAAAGAACAATATTTAATCCAACAAAGTTATACATATATTAGTGTGTAATAAACTGTTTACCTCCAAGAGCCCACTTATGACTGGTTGCATTCGAATGCAGAAACTTCGGATGCACTCTAACATGATCCATCCCTACTGCAATGTCATCATATATTAGCCACAATATATATATAAACGAGTTTTCAAAAAGTGAAAAAAAAAAAGAATACCAGAAGATGAAACGGAGTTTTCGTTAGCATCGCCCTCGTAATCCCCGGCCTTCCAGAACTGCCGGCAATTACTACTCCGAACAACTTGATCAGTGATCACTTGCTCATCAGTGCACCAAGCATCAACCGGCCGAATCTCCGACAAGGGCTCCACTTTCAGTACCACCGATTGACAAGACGGCAAAGACGAAGACGGCGACGGAGGCGGCAGAGGCCGGAGAAAGCCTAGAGGCCACGCATTAATTACCGAAATACCCTCGGCTCTTGGCTTCTTCGCTCTCAAGCCGCTGCCTCCTCCTCCTTCTGCTTCTTCTTCGGTATCCAATTCTCGATTATGTTTAAGCCTGTTCTTCGCAGTAATCTCAGCCGTAAAACCAAAATACGCATCGTCGTTCGTGTCTCCTGCGTCGGAAGAATCCGAAGAACTGTCCGTGCTGTCGCCGCTGATCGTGGTCAGAATGTAATCGGGTTCAAGGATTTCTTGCTTGACGGAAACGGTAGGATGATCCATCGTTGGATGATCGACGGCTGAGATTAATTTAGGGGTTGAGTTTGGGAAGAAACTTGGTTTTCTTTAATGATTTTTCTTGCTTCCAAAGAGAAGAGGTATATGAGAAAAAGAAGTGGCGCGAGTTGGTTTTATAGTTTAAGGAAAGAGAAGAAAAGGTAATAGAACGTGAAGATAACTTCGAAGGTAACAAAGTTGGTTTTGTTAGTTTGAAGCCAATCTAACAAAAGAGAAAACTATCAAACCCTAAATGAAAGCTTCTATAATCTTGATAAATTTTCTCTCTCTTTATTATTTTATCAGTTTTCTTTCACTAGAACTCTCCAAGATTTGATTATATGAGGAGAATGGAGGAAAACCACTTATTTATAGGAGGGGCTAGGGCTTCTCAGAGTTAGATCAATAGGATTCCAATTCAATTAATTACCTAATGTGATTAAAAGTAATTATATAATTAAATATTTCTTTTACTAATAACATAATCAAAGTAATCATGGAAGAGGTTCATCAAATATATATATTTTTAATCAAATAGTCTCAGTCTAATAATTATCTAATGAAATATTTGTTATGATATTTATCCAATGTTATTTGTTTTGAATCAAATAAATTATCCTATTATGATTCTAAACAAGTAATTATCAAATACACGAATAATGAATTAATTTAAATTTAAATCCAAAATGAATTACTAATTCTCTCATACTTAGATAACGGTATCAATTTGATTTTGATTCAAACCACATTTATCTAATAAAATATTTTATGATAGCATATCCAATAGGATTTCAATCAATAAATTATCCTATTAAGATTCAAAATTAGTAATTCTCTGCTACATGAATAATTAATTAATCTAACACTTATTCAAATTGAATTAATCATTATCTCATGTTTGAACAATTATTTGAATTTGATTTTGATTCAAACTACAATCAATTATTTAGCAATAATTAATTAATTTAGAATTATTAGTCTAAAATTAACAATTATTATACACCATAAATAACTTAAATGCTTCCTAAAAACCCTTATTGTATGCACCCATCATATCAGGAAAGGACTGTTTGTACAAAGACCCTTTGTGACACCTAGGTGTGCGCCGCCTCCCATTCTTGAAAAGGTGTCAGCTTAAGGTTAAGTTTTGTTGAGGTCAGATTTCGTACCTCATCTCTCACCGTATACGTGGCAACTTAGACTTCCGAAGGTCATTAAAGAAATCACTACAACTCTCCAGACATACTAAAACGACTCATCAATCAGTCAACTTCACCAGGCAATTTCATGAGTCGATATACAGCCTTGGGCATCAAGCAACGAGACAATATTTTCTAAACATTCCATAGACATAATTTGGCATCAAAATCATCCAAAAAAAGGAAGGAAATTAGCCAATCAAGCTACAAGAATTAAGAAGGAAAGAAGTCGACGATTGACTTAGGCCACAAGTTACACGTACATTAGACGAATTTGATTGCCTTCCATATAAGGAAACTATATCTCCAGCAACTGCGCAATAATAAGAGGTAGAATCAACTCCTAAAGCATAACAAACGATATTTGACCTGTCAACGAGAATGAGAATCTGTTAAAGAAGGTCAAATGTCACCCAAAATGGAAACAAAGATTACGAATTGAAGGCCAAATCACTCAAGAAAAGAGGAAACAACCGTGAAGCCTCATCAACTATAAATACAAGACATTTAGGCATTTTTTAGGGAGACACACGTCTTCTCTAGCACACTAAAGCACTTCCAGCAATATTTTACCCATTGATTACTGTATTTTTCAGCATTCTTCCTCTCTCATCCCGTTCTTCTTTCATCGATTCTTTGTAACACTTTTCAGCATACATAGTGAAACTATTGGAGCCCTACAGTAGACGTACCTTGAATTATTACCGGGGGAACCACTATAAATTTATGTATTTTTTTACTGCTTTTCTTTATTTTCACGCTTACTAATACTCTCGTTCTCGCAGCGGACCAATTTCACTAATCAAAGATGCCTAACTCGATCATTCACTACAAGAAAAAGGGCTTTTCGTAGCGGTTAGTTATAGCGCTTTTTAAAAAACGTTACTGCTTTAGTCTATAATAGCGTTTCTAAAGAGTTATAATATATATATATACATATATATTAAAATTTGTTGACATTTTGACTGATTTGTTTTATATATATTTAAAACTATATAAATGTACAGATTACAATTACATTGGGCGGGCATTGGAAATAAATTTTCCAATTTTCCCGCTCGCTCCCTCCCCCCATTTTTTTTTTAAATGAAATGCACGCAAGATACGAGAGAACTAGGGAAAGGAAAAAAAAAAAAAAAAAAAAAAACCCCCAAAATCCCCATACGGATTCATTCTCTAATATAGACAATTAACCAAAAAAAAAAAAGCAATACTCTAGACAAGAAATAAAGGGCATGGCTTTCATATGTGGCGAAAAGAAAACCATTACTCTCTTTGAATAAATTGGTGAACCTTTTCTGTATCAAGATCAAGTGGCGCTCCTAAAGTTAGGTTTGAGATTTTTTTTTTTTTTTTTTTTTTTTTTTCCCTTGTTATATGAAGATTGACAGGGGATGGAGACAAAGACACATCAGGGAAGGTAGGAGCAAAGCAAGTGCAACAACCGCGGGCAGTGACGCCTAAAGCGACCCTTGTTGCAGCCGATAGCCCTCCTAGAGCAAACCGAGTAGCCGGTTTGAGCAAATGGTTATCTTATTATTCTTGCTTCACTTGTTGTCGCCCATCGTGTTTCTGAGGTGATTCTCTTGGACTGACCTCATTAAAGAGAAACAATTTTTGTGGTTGGAGGAGATTTGGGCTGCCGGTTAGGAAATGTGATGAGAAAAGACTGATTTTTGTTGATGAGAAAAGGCAGATTTTTGTTGTGCTTTAAAATTCCTTAGTTGTAGAAGGAAACCCACAATCTGTAGGTCTTAAAATTTTTGTTTTTGACTTATTTGTAATTGACAGCTTTGTTTTTGACAATTTTTTGTTGTTGATAGATTTGGATAGAAGACTACCTACATTCGTGGTGTTCTCAAAGACACGAAGGGATGTTCTTTGTGACCCTCTTAATGATTTGGATTATTATGGTATTTTCTAGTTTAGTCATAGAACATAGAGCCTTTTGAATTTCACAAGTCTTGTTCCATTATTTGTTTACCAATGTTCTATAGAGAAATGAGATATTCTTTGGTATGGTGATGGTGATGAAAAAGATATATGTATTAAGTGTGTTATCTTTTTTTGTTTGCTCTGTTATTATAATGATGTTAGACTAAATTTTATTTCTTAGTCTGAAATGTGATAATTTATTTAGCATTTAATTATGAAGTCGATTGATGATGTTAAGATGCTTGATAAAGATTGGGTGCGTGATAACAGGTGAGCAAGATTGGAATTTCGTTTTGTTGTTTGTGTTAGTCATTGTAGTCATAGAAATCTTAGTGTTGACCTTTTTATTTATAGACTTACTGTGGAGTATATGCAAAGCGCTCAGAAATTTGTAAAAACAGTTGAAAAGAATTTTGGTTATCCGGAGAAGCTGTTGTGCCCTTGCAAAGAATGTCGAAACTTAAGTCATCAACGTGGTAACATTGTTTATGAACACTTGGTAATCAATGGTATGGATCCAACATACACTACTTGGTTTCATCATGGGGAAGAAGTAAACACAAATGAAGAGTTGGAAAACGTTGACAAGAATGACATATATGAGTTATACAAGGCTGCCTATGGCGATGAGAATGATTATATAGAACAATCGCAAGAACATAGGTTAGAGGAGTTAAATGAAAAAATGAATGATTGGTTAGAACCATTATATCCCGGTTGTTCAAAATACAACAAGTTGTCTGCCGTTGTTGCCTTATTCAAACATAAGACCATGAATGGATGGTCTGATTGTAGTTTTGACGGATTGCTAGAGTTATTGCATGACATGTTACCTGAACCTAATGTGTTGATAAGGTCGACGTATAAAGTACGAAAGTTTATGAGAGAATTTCATCTAGGGTATGAAAAGATTCATGCTTGCCCTAACGATTGTTGTTTGTTTAGAAAGGATAAGGCAGATCTTGATAAATGTCCAAGGTGTCATGCTTCAAGGTGGAAGGTTGACAAACATACCAAAAAAGCTAAAGTTGGTGTTCCTGCTAAAGTCTTGAGATATCTTCCGATAATTCCTAGGTTCAAGGCGATGTTCAAGAGTGAAAAGATGGCTCATCATCTAAGGTGGCATTCCAATAATAAAAGGGGTGATGGAAAGATGCATCACCCGGTTGACTCTCCAGCATGGCAACTAGTGAATGAAAAGTGGCCTACGTTTGCAAATGAAGCACGCAATCTTAGACTTGGATTGTCCACAGATGGATTCAATCCGTTTGGTAATTTAAGCTCAACTTATAGTTGTTGGCCAGTGATGCTTGTGATATACAACTTGCCACCATTTTTGTGCATGAAAAAAGAAAACATCATGCTAACATTATTAATCCCAGGGTCTAAACAACCTGGCAATGATATTGACATTTACCTACAACCTCTCATAGAAGATTTACAAGAGTTGTGGAACAATGGAGTCAGTGTTTTTGATTCATTTGACAAGGAGGTTTTCAATTTAAGGGCAATTTTAATGTGGACAATAAATGATTTTCCAGCCTATGGAAATCTTAGTGGTTGCTATACAAAAGGTAGATTAGCGTGTCCTTTATGTGTTGACAATACTCGAGCAATGTGGTTGCCCTTTAGTAGGAAGTTTGTATTCATGGGTCATAGGAGATTTCTATCACCAAGTCATCCCTTCCGAACGAAAAAGTGTTGGTTCGATGGAAATGTAGAAAAAGAAAGTAAACCAAGAATAATGACCGGTAGAAGAATGTATGAACAACTTAAGGACTTTGTGAATGATTGGGGGAAAGTTAATATGGATATTTTTGAGAATGAAGTTATGAAAGGGCATGGGAGAGGAGGTAAAAAAGTTGTTAAGAAAGTCCATCCTAAACGCAAGAGAGTCGAGGTGAAGGATGTGGATATGGAGAAGCAACAACTATGGAAGAAAAGATCACTTTTTTTTTACCTACCTTATTGGCAGGTAATTACTACTTACCTAATAGCCTCCTTCTGACTTTTGAAGCTAATTATTGATGGATGTAATAATGTGTGATTTGATTGAAGTTACCTTTTACAGGATTTGGCTTTGCGACACAACTTGGATGTGATGCACATAGAGAAAAATGTGTGCGAAAGCATTTTAAATACGTTGTTGCATGTAAATAAAAAAATCTAAAGATGGTCTTAATTCACGAAAGGATTTACAACACATGGGAATTAGGCCTAACTTGCACCCCCAAGAGCGAGGGAAAAGAACATATCTGCCACCAGCTCCACATACACTGTCGAAAGCAGAAAAGCTCACCTTCTGCAGAAGATTATATAATTTAAAGGTCCCCGATGGGTTTAGTTCTAACATTGGAAAGTGTGTTTCAGTGGACGACTGCAAAATCATGGGCTTGAAGTCTCATGATTGCCATGTACTCATGCAACAGTTACTACCAGTAGCCTTGAGAGGGTTGTTGCCAAAAGCTCCCAGAAATGCGCTACTTAGTTTGTGTCTTTTCTTTAATAGGCTATGCCAGCGTGTCATCGATGGAGAAAAGATGATAGAACTTGAAGAAGAAGTTGTAGAAACGTTATGCTTGTTGGAGAGATTTTTCCCACCATCATTCTTTGATATAATGGTACATTTAGTGATTCATTTAGGAAGGGAAGCTAGACTCTGTGGACCTGTTCAATTTCGTTGGATGTATCCTTTTGAAAGGTAATTCCACCACTTGGTAGATTGATATAATGTATGTGAACTTGTTATATTGAGTTTATTACAATTTCGTTACTACACTAAGATTGCTTATTGATATGTACTGACGTAGGTACATGATGACTCTTAAGGGATACGTTCGGAATCGTGCTCGACCGGAAGGTTGTATTGTAGAGTGTTATCTTGCAGATGAGTGCATGGCATTTTGCAACGATTTCATAAAGCAAAAAGTTGATATTTATCACCGTGGATGTCGAAATGAAGAATTTTCTAATGACATAATTCTTGAAGGGCGTCCACTTTCGGTTGGCAATCCATACATGTTCAGTAATGAGATGTTAGAAATAGCTCACCGATATGTGTTATTTAACTCAGCGGTTGTTGAACCGTACGTGAAGTAAGTGTTCTTAATTAAATGTTCTATGTCGTGATATCTTATTGTACGTCTTATTGCTAATGGACCATTTTTTGTTTAAAATAGGATGCATTTAGAGTATCTAAAACAATCAAGTAAATCTCTTGAAAAAAATGAAAGTTTGCTCTGGAAGAAGCACGGAGACAGGCCCCCACCAGCCCAGGCCCCCCATTACTTGGTAGTACTAAAATGAACATTGTTGAAAATTGTTGCATGCCTTTCTACAATTGAATGAATTCTAGTGTGGGCACTCATGCATATTTGTGAAGGTTATATTGTCATTACCTTCGATGATCATACTTGGTCTCATGTTCCTAAAGAGATCAGGTACAAAGAAGGATTAAATTAGCAATTTTATAGCTCCCATTTATGTTGTCAAGCATAAATCTTGTGGGCCATATGCCTGAACTATTTGAGTTATGTTTGGCAAGTACTATTTGTATGTATGTTGTGTTTCTGGAAATTATAAGATTCTTATAACTCTATGGTTGCTTCAGTTTTTGTGCATCATTGTCTTACTTCCTATTGCAATGGTGTCATGTTTGCAATTTCAGAAAACTAGGCGAGAGAAGCTCAAGAAGCAGTTTGGCAAGGTATGCTCACAGTGTACATTTTACCCGTTTTTTGTTTTTTTTTTCCTTTTTGCAATTTCTGGTCACAGTCCTTGCTTTATTTATAGGTTAAATGGTGGAAGTTTTAATTGAGTTTGATTATTGTTTTGATAGTGGATCATTTTCTTACAGGTTAAACAATGGAGTTGACTTTTTTGTTGAAGTATTATGTCAAGTTGGAAGGATTTACTTCACCATTGCACTTAGACGTTTTGGAGATGACTTCTCTGTTTTCTTTACTTGTTTTGAATGTTAAGGTTTTGGACACTGTATGAATTATGTTGTAGACGTAATTTTATTGACAGCTTGGTAGATATTGATAACAATTGATATGTTGAATGTTTTTATGTTTTAATTTGAATGTTCCTATTTAGATATATCACATATCTCAGAATTACTATTTATTTGAATGAATTTAAAAGGATATCAATAATAATTTTAAAAAGTTACAACAGTATGAACATAACAGGAAAAAAAAGTTATTAATCTGTATCGTAGCTATGCTAAAGAGCTGTAAGAGGATGAAAATAACTTTTCTTACACGCTATAATACTTCAATTCAATAGCGCTTTTTATAACTCTTCTGAAACGCTATATTTTCTTAGGACCTATAATAGCGCCCGTTGTCCTAGCGCTCTAAAAAGCGCTATAATAGTGATTAATAGCGTTTTTCGTCAGCTACGAAAGGCCTTTTATGGTGTAGTGATTGGTCCTTGATTTAATCAATAGATTTCACCCTCTACAAGTTTCATTACCTTTTCTAATTTTTTGATCTTAAAGTGTTATGTCTCCATCTCAGACTATAAAAACTATATTATATATAAATCATTTGGTAATTCCCTTTACTAAATGACCAAGATCTCTAACAATGTTGTTTAAGTCCCATATAACGGTTTAAGAAGATATCATTAACTCTTGATAAGATAGTTATGAAATCCACGTTTATGAATAATATTGTCATCATTTATGGTCTACGTCTCTAGCAGGCCGTTAAGGTGCTTGACCATATCATTTGGAGTCTCACTTCTTGACGTAATATGCAATCACTTTTTCACACAAGGTTAGATGGTGACCTACAAGTGATTGATTTACTATTAACAAAACTTCTACATAAATAAATTTTACTTAGATCCAGTTATATATACTTGATATATCAATGCCTCTACTTGGAGTATCCATTCTAATGGTCAAGATAGACCATCTCCCATTAGCAAGTAGACAGACATTACAATATTATTAAAATAATAATAAAAAAACAAACAAACAAACAAAGCGCCAAACTTTGTTTTCACTATTTTTGACTGTTTGTTGAGACCATTGCCTTAAAATTATATTTTCCCTGCATATATTTACCCTACACGCATAATTTAACGTTTGATACTCATAGTCTTGGTAGTTTTGTTTACTTGCTAATTTTTACAAATAACTAAAACACATGATGCATGAGATAACTAAAGAAATTTGTATTATTAAAAAGTTTCAATAAATACATAATATGTATTTTGCTTTAAGACACCAATCCTAACACAAATATAGCTTTCTGCTGTCAATAATTTACTAAGTCTGAAGGTTCCATCAGTATAATTTAGAGACATTGGTAACTCTGACGATTATTTATAAAACCCATATTTAAAAACAATAATATTTTAAAAGGATTATGCCAAAAATTTTAAATAAGAACATATTAAGAGAAACGTTTTTTTAAAGGATTTTAAAGAACAAAAGTATTTTAGTCAGAAACATTTTAATATATATATATATATATATTTTATAAAAAAAAATTGTTGAAGTAACAAAAAGTGCAACTTTAATACTTTATCCTCTCAGTACTTTATTTTTATGTATAGTTATAGATTATGAATTATAAATAGTAATGAGTTGACAATATTGGTTTATTATTTTTTTTATATACGTGTCATATTCTTATAAGTACACCTGTATTACTATAATCTAATAGTTCTTTCTTATAAAAAAAAATCATAAACTTCACTCTTTATTTTAATACCAATAATTTGTTTCTCCCATTAGCCCGTTGAATATTAAAGTAATTTATGAAATTTACAACTTATAAAATTTGCAATCCACCGGCCATAACAATGGATGACGGCATTTATTTCTACAGTTCATAATAACGCCTCTCATGTCGTTACTCGGTAATCAGATATTACTAATTAAAAGAGAGAGATTTGACATGTTTCCTAAAATATACATGGAAATACTATGAGGTCTTCCCATTTGATCATATTACATTAGTAATCTTTAACCAAAGTATATTTGTTGAGGGGTGGTTATGACCGGAAGAATAAACCCCCTGCCAGAGCATGTCGATAGGGAAGAACAGTCTGAATAGGCCAAACACTTGGTCCTACCAGGCCAATAGGGAGGAATATCTCAAATAAGTTGAGCACCTGATCCGAATGGGCTGAATAGGGAAGAACATCCCGAATAAATCGAGCACTTGGTCCGAACAAGCCGAGAACCTAATCTGAACAGGCCGACCACGCCGAACAGACCTACCTGGTCGGGCATGTTGAATAGGCAGACCTAGCCAAATAGGTAGACCAGGACGAGCACTGGCTCGAACAGGCCGAGCACTTGATCTAAGCCGACCGAGCACGTGGTTCGAGCACTAACCAACACCGACTGGCGGAAAATGACAAGTTCCCAATCATCCAACTAACTAGCATGTGGCCTTCTCTCCACAATCCCAATGGGGGCTTCCCCACCAATATGGGCGCAACACATGTCATATGACCGGTATAACTTTACACCTAAGTCACCCATGGGTTCCGAGTTAGATATGAAAATACTCTATAAATACCAAGTTCATTAGCACACAAAGGTACGAACATTTTTTCACACCTAACTCTGCCCACTCATTGTTGCTCCTGACCAAAACACTGACTTGAGCGTCGAAGTGCCATTTACAGACACCACATCGGTGTCCCCTCACTCAAGCCATCTCTTCTTTCGCTACAGGTCAGAACAGTGCTAGGGACCCATCCCAAATAGTGTTAGTACTCGAGCAATATAGTGCTAGGGATTCGTTTCGAACAATGCTATGAATTCAACCAGAAAAGGTAGAGAACAGAGTCCGATTACTATGCGCTTCCGCACGCGATGTTGTGCCGGATTTCGGCACCAACAATATTCATATGTACAACAAAAAACAATACGTCCAATTAATTATTTACACCATTTTGTCCTACATAGTTGAAAAATGTGGCGAACATATCAACTAAAGTGAGTTTTTCCCGTGCCAAAATAATTCGTTAAGGTCAATTAAAAAGGAGCAATAATTGATACCTCTGACAATTATTACTATTTTTCTTTTTGTTTTTTTTCCATGACTTTTTTTTTTTGACCCATGATGATCAGAAAACAGTAAGGGCATGTTCTTTTGTTCAAAAAATTCAAAAAAATACAATTTAAGTTTTAACTTTATTTAAGTTTACGTTTCTTTTAAGTTTCAACTTTATTCAATTTTACTCAACTTTATTCAAGTTCTAACTTCAACTCAATTTATAACTCAAATTTAACTCAAAAACTACACTTAAATTATAACCCCTAAATTTTTTCCTACTTTGTAGTTTCTACCAACATACACCTTAATTTATACAATTTGGCTTGCTCTTACAGGATCACACTAAAAGAAAAAGAGAGAGAGAGAGAGAGAAACACATTAAGGCTTTTGATTTTTAACTTTTAGTTTATGCAATATTTTTTTTTTCATATTCAACTCTCATGTGGGGAATCAATTGAAGGCAATTTTTGACTTCTTGGCACTCCATTACGCCTCTTAACTTGTTCACGAATTTCACAAGGAAATTAAATTTTTAGTACGTACTGCTTTCGTTGTTGCATCGAGTCTTTTTTTTTTTGGCTAATTAATGGCTTGGTATTAGAAAAACCTTTTATTCTCCCAAATACTACCCTCTATACATAACATTCAAGGCATATATTATACGTACATATAGCTAAACGCACGAGTGGATATTTCTTAATTTTAATACTATTTATTATAATAAAAAAACGAGCAGCAAAAATGACCGAATTTTCTGCTTAATTTCTTATTATGTCCATATGGGGGGGGAAAAAAAAAGAGAAAGAAAAAACCCAAGTTTCATGATCAGGTTTTAAATAAAAATCAACCATATATTGAAAGATGAATAAGTTAAAGCATAGATTAGTACTGTTAGAGCCGCCCTACCCACTTGTTTATGTCGTAAATTGGTACTTTAATAATGGATGGAGAATTCTCGATCAACAGCCAATTAGGTTTTATTACATTATAACCTGTCTTCATGCACGAAGCGCAGAAATTATAGCCCAACTTTGACTTGGCAGCCAGCAGAGCTCGCTCCACCCAAAGCCCAGAGTAAATATATATATATATATATATATATAATAAAAAATATAAAATGGTAGACTAAATTTAGTTAATTGAAACACGAAAAATAATGTTTTTTTTTTTTGTTTTACAGAAATTATAGATTCAGGTGTTTACGAAAATAAAAATTATCACTTCATTTAGTACAACTAGAATATATAGGCCGTGAAATATTTATTAAAAAAAAGCCGTGAATTCTTTGGAAAAAGCATGATATATATATATATATATTTTTTTTTTTTGCTGAAAGCGTGAAAACTATTTGTAAATTGCATACTAGAAAGAACTAGTTAAAAGAAGAAGACGATAAAATATAAATATACAATTACTAGGATTATCTAGAAAGCTATCCTTTTTTTATTATATCGTTAGCTGGTGAACTTCTACACAATAATTTGTCCACGAAGAAGACTAATTAAAACCAGGGAAGTTGAGATAAACTCTGTGACAATTTGTTTGTCCTTTAATTACTAGAAGAAACTGAGTGCAAAAACCAACAAAAAGAAAAATGGTAGGAAATAAATCCTGCGTGTCGAGTCCACTTTCGCAATGTACAATTAATGTACCCACACTATTATATTCGTCTCTATGAGAGTTGAAAAAGATAACATTAAGATCTATCTATGAAACAAAAGCAAATTAATAGTGCCTTTCTAGAGTTGACAAGTGGTATTTTACTTTTAAAAAATAAACTTTGGCTCATAACGGGACAAAAAAAAAAAGTCTCCATTGGGTTTTATATATTATGCTAGCTGTGTATAACCTCCTCCATGCTTAGATTGCCCCAAAAAAGAGGCAAGAGAGAGAGAGAGAGAGAGTATTATCTCGTGAGGGTTTTCTTCCGATTCCTCTCCCCTTTTTATCCCTTTTATTTATGCAGTTCTTAAATTCTGTGGCTCTTGAGTACTCATCCTTTGGCTTTACTTATAACCTATATATTTTTATTTCTTTCTGAATATTAATTCTTGGCTTTTTTTAAAAAGTTATTAAGATTATGTTGCATGGTCTTTTTTGTTCGTCGGTCTAAGGAGGTATGAGTAACACAATGAGACCAAGAGTTAAGGTTATGTTTTATCTTGCTTATGATAGGGGTTGACACACAAACCGTGATTTTCGAGCTTTAACTTGCAAAGAGCAATTCGTTGATTTGTTCATACGATCGATCATGGAAGGTTGTGTTGTTTGTGGCTGATATTTTGAGCCCAACTTCAATTATATATAGCACCTTCTTTTTTAATTTCTTGTTATTATCAATATCTTTGTACAAATTTAGGAGTTAGCCTTGTTTGTTTGTATATTTAGTTACTTAGAAGAAAGTGAAAACAAAAGGAAAGAAAACAAATGGAAATGATCATGCCCATGAAGGAAAAACAGCCAAAGAAAGGCAATTTGATCAACAAAACATGGCAGCGATGCAAGTCCATAGGCCGCGGCCTCAAAAGCACTTCACCGGCGGGGCGGTCCATAGGGCATGGCATGACAAAGAAGAGCAAATCATGGCCACGGATGATCAACGCCGCCGCAACTCATGAAGAAGAGAAGCGCGAGCGCGAGAGCAAGAAAGGGAGAGTCGCGCCCGAGGGCTGCTTCTCGGTCTATGTGGGACCTCAGAGGCAGAGGTTCGTGGTGAAAACCCAATACCTGAACCACCCGCTGTTCAAGATGCTGTTGGAGGAAGCTGAATCGGAGTTCGGTTATGATACTCAAGGCCCTCTTATGCTTCCATGCAACGTTGATATCTTCTACAAAGTGTTGATGGAGATGGACAACGACGATGGCGGCGCCGATAAGATTCATCCGGGATATTGCGGCTTTCCTAAGCGCCATGGCTCTTATCACCTTCTAAGCCCCTCTCGCATGGTGGCCATTAATCAGTTCTAATTGTGTGTGTATTCCTATGCTCCTTTTCCCTTCTTTTTTTTTTTTTTTTTTTTGTCTTATAGTTAATAAGTCTTTGCCATATATGTGTACGTTTGGTACGTATGTTTTCAATTATGTTGAATTTAAGTTCCCTAATTAGATCTTAGAATTAATGTCATGTGTGTACAAGGGGGAAAGGAAAACTCTATGAGTAAAAATACAAGATCTAGTTATGCAAATATATCTTAGATTTTGTATAATATACTCTCTGATATGTATGGAGTATACATATAATTCCCTGTTTGTTTGTTATGATGAGAATTTTTGACTGCGTCAATCAATTCACCTCTTTATATATACTTTTGCTATAGTTTAGTCTTAGCCATGACGTGTACTTTTTTGTTGTTTGGTGTGCTGTACACATGTATTATTAAAGGCCTTAATTTGACGGGTAATTAGTGGTTCTTGATGTTGATTAATTATTCTTTCTTATGCTCAACTAATCATGCAAAGTTGTTATATATCATCAACATAGATAAATATTATGTCTGAATAGTTACTTCACCAAAATTGATATTAATTAAGAAAAAAATAGAGGCAGGTTTTGATAAGGTTTAATATTGAGTCATGCATGTATCATTATATGATTTTTCAAGCAGATGAGATATAAAGCGTATAAGGCTTGGCTTTTGGGGTGGAGACGGTTTTGATTAAATTCCCAAGTTTGAATTTTTAGCAAAGATAACGTCTATATCATAAAACAAATGATTTTTTTTTTTCGTTGCTAAAAAGACAAAACAAATGAATTAAAGCTATATATCGAAGCAAAAGTAGTTGCTTTTTAAGAGAAAACAAAGAGCGCGTTTGAAACTCGTTTTAAAATGATTTTATTTTTTGTATGAAAATGGAAATGAAAATGTTTTCAATCTTAGAAAGAATTCATTTTTTAAAATGTGTTTTGTAATTTTATCAAGAGATTATTTTCAGTATAAAAAAATCAATTAATGTATCTCTCTCTGCTTGAGAGATGAGAAAACGGAAATAAAAAATGAAAAATGACTAATTTCTCTCCCATTTTACACTAAGCCAAAAAATCATTTTCATTTCCGTTTTGTCTTTAATTGTGTCAAACGTCGTTTCTCTCCCATGTTCATTTTTTCTTTCTCAAAAAATATGAAAAACAAAAACAAAAATAACTCCAAACACAGCCAAAGTATCTTGTATAATCTTTTTCCATGTTGTCTGTGTTACCAATCGCTTTATTATTCTGTTGAGGTAGATAAGAAGATAAAAGTACGGATGATTACAGTGTAAATTGAGATTCTTTTCTAGTAGACACGTTTTCATTAATCAGTAATATTCAAATTAATGAAATATTTATAACAAATATGGTCTAATTAGTTGGCTTTTGATCACACATAATGTAAACCTTGGATTAGGATAATAGGGTTGAGAACCTTGGATTATTGCATATATTATACACACACACGCGCGCATATAGTATACATGCATAAACGACAAGGTTCTTGGCGGCTGTTGCTACCACCTACCATCGTAATGGCCGTCGTTTGAGGAGTTTCTTAGAAAGATGAAAGCTGGTCCTTATTTTTATCAACAACAAAAAAAAAAAAAAAAAAAAAAAAGCTCATCCTTATTAGTCCATCTCTTTGTGCAAGTGGGTGGGGCCCATTTTCGATAGGTAATTCTCCTGCAATTTTCAAGAAACAGTGAATTACAAATTACATGGGATACTTTTTTTTTGTGGCAAAAAATGCACGGGAAATGCATGAGAAGAAAAAGGGAGAAAAAAAAATAGCTAAGGAAAAATAAACACTTTCTTAGGCATTTCTTCTTCTTAATTTTGCGTTGTTATCTGTTTAATATTTAATTAATGATTAACAATTCGTTGAAAAACTCGAAATGCATTGCGAGACTCATTCCACATTGATTAAGTATTTTTCTATAATACGTGACGATCATAATTAAGTATTATAATATGGGCGTTGTCAACAAATATTCTCCTAGTTTTTAATTGGCAATAAAAGCAATGGACTCCTTGCTTAAGTCATACTCATACCAACCTTGTAGCTATACATTTATATGTAACTATATATAAATATATATATATATATATATATATTATGTGTATTCCCATGTCACCATACCTGGCAGGTACGCATGCCATTTATGAATCATGATCAAAGGTTTGACATCATTTTTGTTTTGTTTATATATATATATAAGTACTCATTCGATCATGAGCTGACTTCAGAAATAAATAAATTAATAGTAATTAACTCATATCAGATCATAGCAGCAAACCGAGAGGTTGAACCGGCGCTAGACTTTGTACAAGTTACACGATTTTTTTTGTACACATACATACAAAAATGTGTATTATATGTATGCATAAATTATAATTATATTTTTTTTTTTTGGTGTGATTATAATATTTAGACTTGAATTTTTTATGTTTTATCTTAAACCGCTCTGCTTCCTGATAACCATTGACATAACAAGCATGTATGGAAATAGAGGTAGTTAATATAATTTAAAGTACAATAAAGCTAAATCTTTTTTTATTATAGGACAAATAAGTAGTTAACATGGTTTGCAAGTAATTAATTAACAACAGAGTTGTAGCTAGCTAGAAGGACGTGACGGCTCATTTAATTAAGATATTTTATTTAAGAAAATGTTAGCATCACTCTTTTTGGCACTCCATTTGTCATGACTCTTTACGTTTACTGTTTGACATGTCAATTTCACTGTCTTATTTTCTATTTAAATAATAACATATTGTGTTAGTGAAGTTCACATAGAATGCAAAAAGTGACAACGAGAATGACATAAAGTGATGCTAACATTTCTCTTTATCTAATGATTTTAATTGGAACTTTAACGCAAGGGATGAACATTATACGTTCATAATTAATCAAGTACATAAAATTTAGAAAGTAGGAAATGCAAGTGGAAATGGCTGGAACAAATTTCCAATGAGTCACATCTAAATGAATCACTCTTACCCGCAACATATATTATAACACACACTTGTTCTATCATTTGGATGTTTTGGGAAGGAAATTGATGTTCCTAGTCTTGGCTAATACATGAACAAAGAACAATAATAGTAAATGCAATTATTGATTTTTGTAATATAAATATTAATGATGAGTCGGTAAAATTACGTAGTCTGCGTTGAATGATGCATAAGTAAGGAAGAGGATTAAACTTTGTTTACCAAATATATATTATGTACGTTTATTGTGATATATATGTAGTGTGAGTGCGTGTATATATATATATATATATATGTAAAGAAACTCTCTAAGTCCATCTACTCAATTAATCTTTAGCAAGATGGATAAAATTGGATGGCAGCAACTTTCCTAGTAATTCCTACTATGTCATAACTGCTTACAGTAGCATCTAATCGTTTTTAGTTTTTGTTTTAATTGGTGATATAATCGTTTGTTGTTTAAGCTATAATTACAACTTATATTATTTACTGATTAAGGGACATTAGGGGAAAAGATGCTTTCCATCAAAAAATTATCTACACTCAAAACCAAACTGTGGTTATTATATTAACACATGAATGTAATCGAAGGTGACTCATAATTGTTGCTCATTAAAGCCCATATATATATATAAATGTGTATAAATTCAAATACAAATATTTAATACATATATATAATAGTTAATATATATAATCAATGTTGTTATTCTCGTTGATATACGAAGAAGATAAATATATATATATATATATAAAGGATATGCATTAATCTGTCTATTTATTTGTCTTATTAGATTATCAATAGGTGTTAACATAAATCTCGCGTGGAATTTACTTTACTAATGACATAAATACGCTTAGTGCTGTGAATGTTTACAGCTAACATTGAAGAAAAATAATAAGATTTGATATGACCCAGCTTTGCGTAGAATTAACGTAGCAATTAATTGTTATGATTAAGTATAAGAAATTTCAGTCTTGGTGCTTTGAACTTTGCAGCTGATATATAGTGTTTATAACACATCCTTTTCAACATTGGAAAGTTACTTATGATTATGACTGCACATATATCTTTCTGAAAATTCGTTTAATTCAATGGATCAGTAATAACATTGTCTGTAAATATGGAACACTAAGCACAAAGAAAAAGAAAAAACATTGACTCTTGAAGATTGATATTATGTTTTCTTAAGTTCCTTTCATTTCACCTCTTCAAAGTAAATTTCCCCACTTAGGATAGGGGGAAAAAAAAAAAAAAAAAAATAGTCCTATCAAAACGAGACAAAATGAAAGGTGTGTGAGAAAGCTTATTAGCCTTTGTGCAATCCGTGAAAAAGTCTATTTCCACTACCTAGTTTTCTTTCCATCAGGTGCGCCATTTTCAAAAATACTGCTCCACCTGCCATTATTTTTTAAGTGAAACTTGAGCATCAAATTGTGGGTCTATATATAGACGGGTTTTCAATTATTATATTTATAATGTATATTTACTATTAAAAATATAAATGTAATTATGTGATATGATGTGATAAGAATTAATTCTCATTAATTGACATAAATTTATTTTACTAACCATACAACTGGTAAATATTGATGAAAACGATTGGTAGAAAATGAAAAGAATAACGAAAAAGATTGGTAAAAAATGAAAAGAATATGTTGCTCTACTGTTTACTCCCTAAAAACAGTACGGAAGAAAGCAAATTACCTTATAATTTCACTGGGGAAATAAAGGTAGTCTTTATGATGAAGTGGATTATTTTACTCCACTGATAGGGTATGAATTTTTACCGTTGAATTAATTTTTTAACGGTAAATTTGCACCAGGAGTAATTCTTACGCACTGTAAACTTCTAATATAAACATGCACAAATATGACCATTAAAAAACTAAGCTAACAGTTAAAAACACTTACTCCACTGATAGAGTAAAATAACTTGTTCCACCGTAAATTTTTTAAAAATAATAGAAGATAATATAAATTAGGAACACAATGCCCAATAAATAGATTAAAAAATTAACAAAAAAGGGAAATGAAATGTGAAAACCCGAGACCGTCGGAGTATAAAATCCCACCTAGAGGTCAGTCCCTCTTCACCTAGTGATCCAATGAGCCTATGGCTCTGTTTGGAATTGATCATGTTTTTATTTTTCACGTTTTTCAAGAAAAAAATGAAAATGTTTCTAAAATGACGTTTGACGCAATAAAAATAAAAAACGGAAATGAAAACAATTTTTTAGTTTAGTGTAAAATGAGAGAGAAATGAAAAATGATCTTTAGTCATTTTTCATTTTTTATTTTCATTTTCTTCTCTCTCGAGCAGAGAGAGAGAAAGAGACATTAATGAGTTTTTTTATACTGAAGAAAATCTCTTTATAAAATTACCAAACGCATTTTTAAAAACAATTTATGTCTGAGATTGAAAACGTTTTCATTTTTATTTTCATATAAAAAATAAAATCATTTTAAAATGAGTTTTAAACGCGCCCTAGGTGAACTATCTGAACTATCGGCAAATTTATCTCTATGCTAAACCACGACGAACATGAAACGACATAAGACCGAAAAAACGACAATTTTGTATAAAATCAAAAAATAATAAAAAAACGATAATCGGGATTAAAAAAAACAACAAACAGGGAAAGGACACACAAAACAAAACGACATTAAATAAGAAAACGACAACAAAGAGGGAATGACACCAAAAATATTAAACGACAGTACACGAAAAGACAACAAATTCAGAAAAAGAAACTGACAACAAATGAGAAAACGACATTCACTACTAAAAAGACATCTACAAGAAAGCTACAACAAAGAAAGCGACATCAAATACATCAAAAACTAAAAATAAAAAATAGGACCCAATCAAATATAAAATGACAAAAATGCGGGAAAGACATCCGCTGTAAAGAGCAGCATAAAATAAAAACGGCAACAAAAGCATCCCCACAAATGACAATGGTAGAACGACATGCACAGTAAACACAACATTAACCTGAAAACGACGACTTAATAGAAATAGACATCAAATAGAAAACTGCATTAAAGTTAAAACAATACCAAATAGACCAAAGTACGAAAATTAGAAACGAGGGTAAAGTTATAAGGAAAGACGACAACAAAGATGAAAACGACACGATAGAAATAACACACAAAAAAGAAAACGACAAAAGAGTTGAAAACAACAATAACAGGAAGACAAAGAAAAAATGGAAAAAGGAAAAAAAAAAATTTGGAGCAAAAAGAAAGCAACGATGCATTCTAAAAAGGGCTAGAGAATTAACAAGGTTCAAAACGACACCACATGTATAAAACAACAATCACCGGAAGACACGGAAAAAAAAAAAAAAAAAGAATGCAACGACAAACCTTGAAAAGGACATCGGCGAGAAAACGATGACAGGGTTGAAAGCGACACCAAATAGATTAAAACAAAAGAAAAGACCACAAAATCTTAAAAACGACATCAAGAAAAGGGCATAAAAGTGCAAACGACACCATAATCTTAGACGACAAGAACATTAAAAACGACAAATATGGGCAAACAAAGCTAAAATCAACAACAAAAATAAAATAAAAGAAAAAAAGTAAAAAAGAAAAGTAGGAGAAGATGATCTTCAGCCGTTCTTTAGTTGCTTACTCTGTCACTCTTATAGGAGTCAAACACCACCATCGCACCATCCGAGGTAGACCAAAGCAAAAATGGAAGCAGCGGCGGCGGCGGCGGCGGCGGCGGCGGCGGCGGCGACGACCAAGAACACGGTGGTGGTACTCCACAATGCAACCGTCGTCACCATGGATTCCGATAGCCGAGTCTTTGCCGACGGTGGCATCGTCATCGAAAACGACACAATCACTGCCATCGGGCAATCTTCTTCCATTCTTCACCGCTTCTCCTTTCTCGCTCACCAGATTTTCGATCTCAGCGGCCACATCTTACTCCCAGGTATCTCTGTGTTTTCTTTCTCTCTTGGCTCGATTTTCCGAGCAGCCAAACAGATTAGATTTGCGTTTGGTGATTAGGACTGGTGAACACGCACGTGCACACCTCTCAGCATCTGGCGAGAGGGATAGCCGACGATGTTGATCTGATGACGTGGTTGCACGGTCGGATTTGGCCTTACGAATCGAACATGACGGAAGAAGATTCCTACATTTCCACTTTGCTCTGCTGCATCGAGCTAATCCGCTCCGGCGTATGTATCTTCAATTTGTATTTGAGCTTTTCAAATCGTCTCTTTTCGATGTGATTTTGGACTTACTGATGAACACCAGACCAGGTGTTCGTGCAAAGCTTTGAAAAATAGTCTCTTGTGATGCAATTTTGGAGCTATGATGAACACCAAGTGTTTATGAAGTGAAAAGCCTTTCAAATTGTCAATTTGCAATGTAACTTTGGACTTCTCATGAACACCAGGTGTTTGTGAAAAGCTTTCCGAATTGTCTCTCTTGGAAATGCATTTTGGACTGTATGTCTTTTTGGTGTGGTCATCTTGGACTTCTGATGAAGGTGCTCGTGAAAATGTGGAATATCAGGTTACTTGCTTTGCTGAAGCTGGTGGCCAACATGTGCCTGAAATGGCCAGGGCCGTGGAGTTACTCGGCCTGCGTGCCTGTTTAACACAGTCGACGATGGATGCCGGCGATGGTTTGCCTCTGTCATGGGCGCTTCGAACTACTGACGACTGTATTCAGGTTCAGCATTGAATGTTTTTGTTGAATTTATCGTTTGTGGTTTTAGTCTCTCTCTTTGAATCCTGTTGATCTTTGCTCATTTTATAATCCATGTTTGGGTGTCACAGTCTCAGAAAGAGCTATACACGAAGCACCACAACACAGCGGATGGACGCATTAGAGTATGGTTTGGAATTAGGCAAATTATGAATTCGACTGATCGTTTACTACTCGAAACAAGAGACATTGCAAGAGAACTGAAAACTGGAATCCACATGGTATTCATCTCTGTGTGTGTGTGTGTGTTCGTTTTCTCTTTGGATTATGCATTAGAAATACCTGTTTATGGCTTCTAAGGATTGTTATCTTTTAGTTATTAGATCAATGTGATGAATTTCAGTTTCTTTGTCTCATTAGAAAAATGTTGTCCACAAAAATCCTTGTTCTTGGATTTCTGGATTAAGTATTGGGATCTAACCTTCTTGTCTTTTTTTCTTTTCGTCTTAGTAAATTTTTGAAGTTTTGTCAATTTGGACATAAAAACCTGGATCTTATGACACATAAACAGGACGAATCTGATGGGGAGGAATCGATTCCTGATGTTTGACATGGATCAAGTTGATCCTTTTTCACTGTTTAGCATGTTGCAGAGATACCTTATGAGAACCAACATGTGGTTGAGAGACGAAAAGCTGATCTTGGAACAGTTACATATTTGGAGAAGATAAAGTTTCTGCAAAATAATTTGCTAGCCGCCCACACAGTTTGGGTCAGCGACGCGGAGGTTAGTTGCTGCTTTTAATTTTTGTTTTGGAAGTGAAGAAATTATAATAAACTCATGTAGGCATTCTAGCTTGCCCCAAAAAAAAAAAAAATCACGTAGGCTTTCTTGCTTGTACCATTTGCAAACACAGTAGTTTCATAATATATAACTGGTGAGTCGGAAGTGATGCTGGTGAGGACTTCTGGTTTTGATTAAATTTAAATCAGCAAGTACTTTTAGTAATTTTGGTTCTCAGTGTGTCATTACAATTTCATCAATTGTGTCCATTTATTTCTTCTGATAGTCTTTTTGTAACTTTAGGTCGTTGAAACTGAACTTTACACTTTTTAATAATAAATTCGTCATGTTCAATATCAAGTTGAAATTGTATTGTCATGAGTTGGTGCGGACAAGCTTGGCAAAGCAAATGTTAAGCACGAACTTAAAAATGTTGCTTTCTGCGGTATATATCACATTCCTTCTGCTGTTAATTGTCTCACTCATATTTTATGGTTAGAAATTTCTCTGGTCGGACACTATTGGATCATTTCTTTTTAAATAACTATTAACATTTGTCGAATGATTTTCAAATGGTGTCATTATTGGTAACTGGTTTTTCTGGGTCTTCTTCAGATTGATTCTCTATCGAGGGCTGGAGTTAAAGTATCTCATTGTCCCGCTTCTGCAATGCGAATGCTTGGATTTGCACCTATTCGTGAGATGCTTGATGCTGGCATATGTGTCTCTCTGGGAACAGATGGAGCACCATCAAACAACAGAATGAGCATTGGTTCGTAAATATTCTGAACCCTAATATTTTTACTTTTGTAAATACTCCGTGTTTAATGGTACTTACTAGAGTAACCAGTACACGAATATTTTTCAGGAGTTATCTTTCTATCATTTCTTTCTACATCTTTCCTTCCACTGATTTCATGTCAAAATTTTATCTTTAGATTCCAAGATAATCAGCCATGCACTTTTTTTTTTTTTAATATGGGGAGAGTAAATAAGCAGGTTAGATGGAGGTAGTTGAAAAAACTAACTATAGGCAACTCACTGCTCAACTAAGCTTTCCTACCAATTTTGGCTACAGTAATAGGTTTTTGTTACCATACAGCATAGTTATATGGTCAGAAATGTAAACTTCTTGTATCAAAATATTTTCTTGATGGTTCAAAATGATCCATGGAAGAGTGATGGCTTTTCCTTCGTGCACGCATTTACTTCCTTGCAGTAGATGAGATGTACCTGGCTTCTTTGATTAATAAAGGAAGGGAAGTATTTGCAAAGGGGACTACCGATCCTACCGTTCTCCTGGCTGAAACGGTTCTCAAAATGGCAACAATTAATGGTGCAAAATCTGTACTTTGGGATGATGAAATCGGTTCACTTGAGGTTGGAAAAAAGGTTGGACTTCTGGCCTGGACAAAGTTATATTTCATTTAAAAATAAAAATAAAAAATCACACTTGCTAATTTATTTGAAGCAAAAGTTGGAACATGCAGAACTGCTAAACGAATATGGAGGGCTTCTATTTTCGGGCTCTTTGTTACTTCCCCTTTGATGTTTATGTGTCGTACAAATAATATATATATATATATGTATATGTATATATTACTAAAAGCTGACAAATGTTTCTCTTGCCTAATTTTGTAGGCTGACTTGGTTGTAATAAATCCTTCAATTTGGTCCATGGTTCCTGTTCATGACTGGTAATAACCGTTCTTTAAAACTGTGGATGCAATCCATTTTCTAGTTATTCAAGGGCAATTAACATTACATTATATGATTCATGTATACATGGCTGACATTTGAAATATAAGAAGATTGTTATAACGTCCTTCATTCTAGTAGATTAATGTTTTCCTTCGATAACATGCAGCATTTCCAGCCTTGTGTATTGCATGCGAACTGAAAATGTGGTCTCTGTAATGTGCAATGGGAAGTGGATTATGAAGGATAAGAAGATATTAAATGTGAATGAGGTACTTTTGATGACCATTTCCTCGGCACCAATTTGATGCAAATAGGCTAATTTCAGTTGTTAATGATCCTCAATTATTAAAATTGTTCAGTTCTTGAGATGTTACGTAATAGCAATATAGTATTTTTTATGTTCTTATGCTAGGAGTTCCATTTATGGTTTACTTACGGATGCTAAAAATGTAATTGAACAGGAAGAAATTGTTTCGCTGGCAAAGCAAGCTTCCATGGATCTTCTGAAGAGGGCCGGAATCAAAATTCCAAACAGAATGAATATACTCTGATGCTTTGTGTCGTTTGTTTGCTTTTCTTCATGAAAAGTGAAAAGGGTTGAGTTATATATATATATATATACACATATATATATATACACATATATATATATATATGTGTGTGTGTGTGTGTGTAAATTGAAAAGTGTTCCTTATTGTATTCAAGCAATTATGTTCAGTGTCATCTATACATTAAACAGATGGAGAAAGTATGTGAATAATGTGATGAGGTACATGTACGAAGAAGGATAATTGAGGTTTATTCTGCCATGACAAAGAAATGTGGGAAAAAAACACTATTTCGAACGATATTGAAGCTCACTGACATTATACATCGAGTCCTGGGATTAGTTTATTTATATATTTTAAATAAGCTTTACATATCTCACCTTACTTTGCTCAAAATTATGGAAATTTTATCTGATTCTCCTTACATATGATTACACATCGAGAGATAAGATAAGACCTATTTGTTTAGTTTAAAGGGAAAATACACTAAATACATTTTTCACCTATCTTTTTGAAGTAAATAACATATTTTTTTTTCTCTCTTATTCATTTTTAAAAATTTATTCATTTTCAATTTTACCCAGTAGGATTTTTTCTTTTCTTTCCCTGGTTATCTCTCAGATTACTTTCCCAAACACTCTCTCTCTGCAGCCACGATTAGTGACGGCGGCGGCTTCCGACGACTGACGATAGCCACCGCGCGAGGGAATCTCCGGCGACGTCTCTCTATCTCTATCTCTTCGTAATTCTGGTTGAGATCATGATTTCTGTTCGCGATTCCGGCCAAGCGATGCCGCCGTTGGGATGCCGGTCGCAATCTGGAGCTGTCGTCGCGATCTCTGTCCGGATCTCCTCGCGATCCACGTCGGGATCTCCTCGCGATCTTCTCGTTCAGCCGTCGTTCAAGATCGCCACAACCGTTCGCGAGCAAGAAGAACGCCGTCGCTGGAGAAGAAGACCGTTCACAAACCAGATAACGACGTCGGAGTGGGAGTCGGAGCGCCGCCTTTGCTCCTGGCGAGATTCCGGTTGAGAGATTCCCATCGCGATTCCTGTGGGTAATCTCTCTGAGGTTATTTTGAGCTGTTAAAATTAACATAAAATAAATATAGATAAAAGAGAATTAGTACATGAGAATTGGAGGCACTGTGTTTGTATTTTCCTGCATTTTATTTTGGTTATCTAGTGGATTTTTGACATTTTTTGTCTTTGGTTGACTTTGTTGATGGTGGTTTTTTATTTTTGTCGTAATTTGGTTACCAGCGAGAGATTTTGACAGAGTTTGGCCCGATTAGTTTATTTGAGTTTTTAATTCGAGATAAGATGTAATTTTATATTAAAATTTTTTATTATAGTAAAAAAATTATATGTGATTGTTTGTAAGAATTTTATTTTTAGATCTTGAATGAGGTAAGTACTTCATTAAATTTAAATCTGGTAAATATTTTTCTGAATTCAATTCTTAATCTAGTAAATGACTGAATTTATTGGTAAATACTTCACTTAACAAGTTTGAATATGGTAAATGTGGTATTTAATAGTTGTCGGAGTCAGTTATCAAATTTTCAGATAAATATAGTCAATACGGTATTTATCAATCACTGGAGCCGATTGTCAGATTTTTAAATAAATATGGTAAATACGACATTTACTAGTAAATATGGTATTTACCAATAAATACGGCATTTACTAATCGTTGGAGCCGGTTGTCAGATTTTTAGATTAATATGATAAATATTATATTTACCGGTAAATACGTATTTACCAATCGTCAGAGCCAATCGCCGGATTTTTAGATGAATATGATAAATATGATATTTACCGATAAGTACAGTATTTACCAATTACTAGAGAAGGCCACCAAAAAACGGTCGCAGGCCAATGTTCACAGAAAAATGTTGTCGAAGCCGGTCATGGTGGACTTGACTAGAGGGGGAAGAAGAGATAAGTGGATAGAAGAGTTAAGGGTATTTTGAGATTTTTAAAAATGTTTGAAATTTAAAATATCAAATTATACTATAATTTACTTATTTTAAAAAATATGCTATAATTTACTAAACATCATACTAAAATATGCTATTTTGCTCATTGTTTAAATGTAAGTGTTTAGTTGATAGTTGGTATCCATTTAGGATCCGTTTAGTTTGCTGATTCGAGTTTTTAATTCGAGTTTAAATGTGACTTTATGTGAGAGTTTTTTTCTGTAGTAAAAAAGTTATATGTGACTATTTTTAAAAACTTTTTACTATAGTAAAACTCGAATCGGTGAAATAAACGAGGTTTGAGTGTTTGAATATCAATCTTTTATTTATCCCTGATAAATGAGAAGATATCTTCTATAATAAAAACAAAAAAAAAAAGAGAGAGAAGAAGATATCTCAAATTTTATCATTTATCAGATCTCAAAATATCAAGTAAGAAATAAGGATAAATCTAAGAATTTACAATTCATGTAATCGGTTAACTTGCCTAAATTATCAAATCTACATCTATAAATTTACTAACATAAAAATAAATTAATAATTAAAGGATCAATTCGATAAGTATGTTTGAAACGTGATAATTTCTAAATGCAATGGAAAGTTTGAAATATGCAATTTGAATATTTTAGTATAGAAACACTTCATCTTAATTAAGACACTTATAATTAAATATTATATTAATTAAAAAGATAATAATAAAGAATAAATGGTAAAAATCTAATGTGCTTCTAAAAGTGAGTTAAGTAATTTTCTCTGAAAAAAATAATATATGGAATATTAATTTTTTCTAACATGATATATATTCTAAAAAAAGGAAAAAAATTATACCAATATTGTATATTGCGCGTAGTGCACGTGCTGAACTATCTACGTGGCAAATAAACTTTGACGGCTATATTTACATCCGAACGTTAACTCGGATAAAAAAAAAAAGGGTGCGTTTGGAATTAGTTTTAAAATAATTTTGTTTTTAATAAAAAGTAAAAATGAGATTATTTTGAAAAGTATTCTAAAAATCGATTTTGAAATTGCGTTTGGTTAGTTTTTTAAGATATTATTTTGAGTATAATAAAAAAGTGAAATTGTATTTATTAATTAAGGGCCCGTTCACTTCGTTGATTCGAGTTTGTAATTCGAGTTGAGATGTGATTTTATGTGAGAGCTTTTTATTGTAGCAAAAAAGTTAGATGTGATTATTTCTGAGAACTTTTTAATGTAGTAAAACTCAAATTCTAAACTCGAATCGGTGAAGTGAACGGGGCCTAATATATTATAATATTGTTAATGAGTACTAAAAAATGAAAACAGAAAAATGAAAATAATTTTCAACTGCTTTATAATTCATTCACAAAAATTATTTTCACTGTTTTCGTTTTCAAAACATTTACTAAGGGCGCGTTTGGAACTCGTTCTAAAATAATTTTATTTATTGTATGAAAATGAAAATGAAAACGTTTTCAATCTCAGACATAAATCATTTTTAAAAATGCGTTTGGTAGTTTTATCAATAGATTATTTTCAGTGTAAAAAACCTATTAATGTCTCTATTTCTCTCTGTTCAAGAGAGAGAAGAAAATAAAAATAAAAAACGACTAAAAGTCGTTTTTCATTTCTCTCATTTTATACTAAACCAAAAAATTATTTTTATTTTTATTTTTTATCTTTATTGCACCAAACGTTGTTTTGAAAATGTTTTCATTTTTTATTTTTTAAAAAATATAAAAAATAAAAATGAGATCAATTCTAAACACAATTTAAAGTAACGGCGTTTTATTTTTATTTTTATTTTTATTTTTTATTTTTTAAAATATGTGAAAATCGTTTTAAAAAACAATTTCAAACACGCACAGAAGCTTCCGTGACCTTCCAGAACCTCCTCAGCTCATTCATTCTTATTATACGGACATGAACGTTTTAAAATATCTCAACTGAAACTTCTCGAATCTTCACTTCTCTCCTCGAAGAGCCTCGATTCCTCCATATCCTATAAAAATCCCCTCTCACGCATCCTTCTTCACCAAAAGCGTAAAAACAAAAACAGAACACAAAAAGCCCTTTCTTCAAGCGAGAAAAGAAAATCCAAAGCCGTTCGATTCTCGAGAAAATCACTTTCTCATTCATGATGGAAAGTCCGTTCTTCAGCAGCCATTGGAGCAATTTCCAGCCGCGTCCTCGCTACTCCCCGAGCGTGAGAGAAGTTCCTGTCTGTCGTCCGGCGGCAAGGCCGTCGTCGTCTCCGGAGGTGGTTTCGATCCCCGTACACTTCGTCGGATCGGAGACGAGCAGGTCCGACTCTGCGTTGAAGATCCAGAAGGTTTTCAGAGGGTTCCTGGTGAGAAAGAGCGTGAAGAAGATCGCGGCGATCAGAGAAGAGGTCGATGCGGTTGAGAGGAAGATCTCCAGGAGAGAGACTGTGGAATCGATTCGGAGAGACGCGAAGGAGCGGTTGAGGATCAATGAGACGCTGATGAACTTACTTCTCAGGTTGGACTCTGTGAGAGGGGTGGATTCTGGGGTTAGGGATTTCCGGAAGGCGGTGATCAAGAAGGCGATCGCGTTGCAAGAGAGAATTGATGCAATCGTCGCCGGCGATCAAGCGACTTCGGATGTCGCGAACGAGGAATCCATCTCTAAATCTGCTGATCAAGCTGCGGAGACCAAGGATTCAGGTGTGTCTTCTGGAGGCGATGATGATAAGGCTGAGGATCGTGCCCTAGAATCGGAACCTAAAGTCTCTGCGGTTGATAGATCTGCTGAATTATGTGCCGATTGTTCGAATTCCTCTGAAATTGAGTTGGATCAAACCCTAGAAAAAGAGGACGATGCCACTGTTTTCGCAGAATACTCCAACTCGGAGCAGCAGAATCGCGACGTGCCTATGCCTAATTCGACCATGGCAGAAGAGGAAGCTACAGACGAAACTCCAAATTTGGTACAAACTGATGAAGTTGCTGTTGAAGATGAGGAGAAAGTAGAAGATTCAGCCATTGCCGAAAACAAAGAAACTACAGTGGAAAACATGGAGGGAAGTGTAGAAACGAGTAGTGGTGACAGCGAGAACAGTCAGTCCGGATCCTCTGCGAATTCTCGGAGTTCGATTGGAGGCGACACTGCGATGAAGGAAGAAGAAGAGGATGGGATGGAGATTGTGCAAAAACCTGAAAGAAACGACGAAGAAAATTGGGGTCATCAGCGGAGGAGCAGAGAGCTTCTGGAGAAGATGATGGAGGACAATGAGAAGATGATGGGGCTGATGGCGGATCTGTTTGAGAGGAATTACACGCAAATGCAGTTGCTGAACTCGCTGTCGCAGAGGGTGGAGCAGCTGGAGAGAGCTTTTGTGAGCGACAAGCTCAGGAAGAAAAAGAAGAAGAGAGCTGCTGTTGATTGCTCTGGAAAATGCCCGAATGCTGCTAAGAAGTGTGGGAACAGATAGTCAGAAGAGGAGTCGAGTCAAAGCTTGTGTGAGCTCTCTAAACTGATTTGTTAAGATTTGGTCATTGTTTACAATATAGGATACTTGTGTTTGATCATTGGCATTGCTGGAAAGGTTGCTAGAAACTCTTGTGATGATTTTTCTCTGTTTCATCTACAAATTGGATGATGTGAATGAATGTGAGATTCACTTGCCTTAATAATGGAAGCTGCTCAATTTTGTCAAAACTTCCTATTGCAGAATTACTATTAGTGGCACGTTCTGTTTTCAAATGGGTAACAACTAGCAACAATGAAACTGGGAAATCTTTTTGCAAAATATAATGACACTGAGAAATTCAAGGCCGCCACTGTCTACTTAAGGCTCTTATGAAACTACGAAATCAAACAATTTCTAAACTTACATAATGCTGAAATGGTTATGAGGACCCTTTGAAAAAGAAAGGACTTGAAGCTAGAAAGGATTTGGGCGAATGTTTTTCTTGAACTTTTCGTGATTTGACACTTTTGTCTAGGATTTTGTTTGCCTGGTAATATATGTTGTAACCTCTAAACTGAATGTAAAGATTTGGTTATTTTATTGGATATAGGATCCATTTGTTTGCTGCTAATTTGCTTAGAAGGTTTATACAAAATCACGTAATGAATATGAGATCGCCCTTTTGTAATGGAAGCTATTTGCCACACAAAAAAAAAAAAAAAAAAAAAAAAAAAAAAAACTCAATAATGGAAGCTGTTCAGTTTTACCATTTGTAAGGATATGTGGCCCACATAATAAAATAAAAGCTCATTAATATTATTATTATTTAATGGTTTAACAATTATCTTAATAAGGGGTTATAATTCTTATTAAATGATATGTTTACATCTCATGAATAGATGTGTATTTGAATGGGAGACATTAATTCATGGTTTATAAAATAAGAGTCTAATCTTCTCTCTACTTAATAATTATATATCTTCTCTCTATCAGGAAAATACATTAAAAATTACAGTGGGTATAGAAAGAGAAACTTAGATTTTATTTCTCTTTTAAATTATGTGTAAGTAATAATTTTAAATTAAAATAATGAGTTTAGGTACGCTTATAATTATAATTATGTGAGAATCATAATATTTTAAGATTTTTGAATATTATAGATTTAAAATTTTACACGTGGTATCGGAGCAATTAAGTTTTTAGAACTCATAATTTTCTTTTAGAATTATTTCCCCAATTATGCATGAACCCTAGAATTTTGGTAACCAATAAAACTTTCTTCCGCTGCAACTATACTGATTTTAGTATTCTGGGTTTTTGCTATATGTGATGGTTTTCATATTTCAATTTACACTGTATGGTTTTAAAAATTATAAATATAATTACCTATATTTTGATTTGCATTGCCGATCAATATTACATGGTATATATATATATATATATATATATATATGAATTAAAGTTTTACGGTTGTTTTCGTTTCTTTCTCCCGTAATTAATATATATATATATATATATAAAAGATTATATAAGAAAGATCGCAATCACGTATGGGATAGGAATAAAATGTTTAATGTATATGAATTATGTTCGTCATTATATATTGAATCGTGTGTTTGATTCATATGGTTTTGTCATATATATACATGAGATTTTGGTTTTGTTTTTCGAATTGGCGGAAATCTGTCAATTTTTATCAAGTTTTCATACGATTTACTTTCTTTTATGTATATAAAATAAGAAAAGGAAAGAACCTGATTATCTATAGCATGAAACTAGTAAAGCAACTGTTTATATTTTGGAAAATTACATAATTATGTTTTGCTAGTCACCAAAGTGGCCAAATTTAATGCTTAGTAATTTTCAAATTAAGAAACAATATTCAATAACTCATGAATTCTTGATACTTCTAATTAAAATGACGTTATATTATTTATTGATCATGGGTCATTGAATTTCATCTATTATAAGTAGGGGTGTAAATCGGCCGGGTAGGATAGGGTTGAGTCAAAAAATTGAGCCTACCCGACCAGTGCGGGTTGAGAAAATTTTGAGCCGCGACACTCTCTTAAGTCTACAAACTCGCAACCTTTCGAGTAACCTCGGGTAGGGTCGGGTTACTCGGGTTGGTGATCTCAAGAACCACATGATCACTTTTTAGTCAATTAATCTATGCTTGTTACAGAAGAAATCATTATCAAATAGAACATATATTTCCTTCAAGAGGGGGTCTAAATGCAAGGTGAACAATTAAAACACTCATTTTGAAATCAAACACTTCCAATATAAATAAAGAATGTCATAATTCAACAACTATGGCATACAAGCATTTTTTACACAAATCGTGAATCCAAAACAAAAATAAGTTAACAGTTTAAATGCATAAAGTCCATAAACTTATGAAAGTAAGAATTTGAAGTGTTGGACATTGTTTTACCTACTTTGAACATGTTCGGCCGGGTAGGGTTACCTCGGGTTCATGTAACCCCACCCCGCGCCCCTACCCGCGCAATGCGAGTTAGGCATAATTAAAACCGAAAATTAAATAAGAAATTAGAAACCCGTGATTTTTGAGTAGGGTCGGCTCGGCTCGGCCAGATTCCTCGGGTTCGGAGTAATTTCTTACAGCCATAATTATAAGAACTTAGGAACAACCCAAAGGTTGATTAATATTTTTATAATTGATGAAAATAACTCATTGTAATTATTATATCCAATTATTTTTGTTTGTTTATCCAAAGATAGCAAGCACTTCTAATTAGGTGTATTTATGATTATCAAAAAGTGGCCAAATTTAATGCTCAGTAATTTTCAAATTAAGAAACAACATTCAATAACTCATGCATTTTTTATGTTTTTATAGTATTTATTGATCATGGGTCATTGAATTTCATCTGTTATAAGAACTTAAGAATCACCCAAAGGTTGATTAATGTTTTTATAATTGATGAAAATAACTGTTGTTTATTATTATATCTAATTATTTTTGTTTGTTTATCCAAAGATAGCAAGCACTTCTAATTGGGTGTATTTATAATTATCAAAAATAATTTTTTTTTTGCGATTTTAATTTTTAATTACCATCAATTATAGTTTGTATGCCTTAGTATCACCCAAAGGTGAACTATGATGTATATTTATTGTTTAGTTTGAATCTGATTATATGATTATCTCAAAGCATTAATGTATGCATGTTTCTTGCATATTTGCAGTATTTGTTCCTGTTTCACTACATTCACATGCTTCATATGTTCCCTTATTTAATGGATTGAATTTCTCCGATTGGTGTGAACAAGTCCAATTTCACTTAGGTGTATTGGATCTTAATTCAGCACTTTAAGATAAGAAACCCAGTACTATTATTGAAACTGGTAGTGAGGAGGAGAAAACTTTCCATAAATTATGAGAAAGGTCAAACAGATTAAGCTTGATGTTTATGCGAATGACAGTTGCAAACAACATTAAAGCTACTCTTCTCAAGACTGACAATGCTAAGGAATTTATGTAACTTGTAAAAGAGCGCTCTCAAACTGCAGACAAGTCTCTTGCTAGTACATTAATGGGTGAATTGACCAACATGAAACTTGATGGTTCTTGTACTATGCATGAGCATTTAAAATGACAAATATAGCAGCAAAATTAAGTCTTTAGGGATGACTGTGGATGAGTTCTTTCGAGTACAATTTATATTTAACTCCTTGTCTCATGAACAATATGGCTCATTCCAAATGAACTATAACACAATTAAAGACAAATGGAATATTAATGAATTGACCAGTATGCATATTCAAGAGGAGACGATTAATGAATCAGAAATCTCATTCCATTCATCTTGTGAATCAAGAAGCTGAAAAGAGTTCTAAAAAGAAGCCTGGAAAGAAAAAGAAGAAATGATTGCATAACTTGAATGAGTCAACTCAGGCTTCTCAAATCCACAAGAAGGAACACAACATTAAGTGTTATTTTTGCAACAAAAATGGCAGTTAAAGAAAGATTGCCAATAACGGAAGGCTTGGTTCGAAAAGAAAGGTAAGCTTGTGCTTTAGTATGTTTCGAATCAAATTTAACTGAAGTTCCTCATAATACTTGGTGGATTGATTTGGGTTTAATTACTCATATTTCTAACACAATGCATGGATTCTTTTCGATAAACCATAAAAGCAAATAAAAGTTTTATTTTTACGGGAAATCGAGATAAAGCTCTAGTGGAAGGCATTGGCACTTATCGCTTAATTTTATATACTGAAAATTATCTTGACTTGTACCAAACTCTTTATGTACCTACATTTTCTTGCAATTTAATTTCTTTATCAAGACTTGATGTAGCGGGATTTTCTTGTAAGTTTGGATATGGATAATTTATTTTATATAAAAATAATAAGTTTATTGGTTCTGGAATCATTTATGATGGTTTATATAAGTTAAAGCTTGATAGTGTTTTTGCTGAAACTTTGTTAACCATGCATCAAAATGTTGGAACTAAACGGAGTTTAATTGATGAAAACTCTTCTTACTAGTGGCATAAACGTTTGGGTCACATATCCAAGAAAATGATAGAGAGATTAGTAAAGAATGAAATTCTTCCAAGTTTAGATTTTACTGATCTTGGAGTGTGCATTGATTGCATTAAAGGAAAGCAAACCAGGCACACTAAGAAAGGGGGCCACAAGAAGTACACGGCTTCTTGAAATCATACACACCGACATATGTGGACCTTTTGATACTCCATCTTTTGGTGGAGAAAAGTATTTTATCACTTTTATCTATGATTTTTCACGTTATGCTATCTTTTTCTATTGCGTGAAAAATCTCAATCTATTAAAGCTCTTGAGATATTCATTAACGAGGTTGAGAATAATTAGATAAAAAGGTGAAAATTGTAAGGTCGGATAGAGGTGGTGAATACTATGAAAAGTATGATGAGATAAGACAATGTCCAAGTCCATTTGCTAAATTCCTAGAAAAGCAAGGCATATGTGCGCAATACACTATGCCAGATACACCACAACAAAATAGTGTAGCATAAAGGCGTAACCGTACATTAATGGATATGGTTAGGAGTATGTTAAATTACTCATCTTTACCCTTGTCTTTGTGGATGCATGCATTAAAGACCACCATGTATATTCTAAACAGGGTTCCTAATAAAGCAATTCTGAAAACTCCTTTCAAGATGTGAACAGGAAGGAAACCTAGTTTATGACACCTGCATGTTTGGGGTTGCCCGGCTGAAGTTAGGATTTATAATCCACATGAAAAGAATTTGGATTTTAAGACAACCAGTAGTTATTTCATTGGTTATCCTGAAAAATCTAAAGGGTATAGATTTTATTGTCCTACCTATAGTGCGTGAATTGTAGAATTTGGAAATGATAGGTTCATTGAAAGTGGTCAAATTAATGGGAGTGGAGAACCACGTAATGTGGTTATTAATGAAATTAGGGTAGAAGTACCTCTACATGTAAATTCTAAAGTTGTTCCTGCCATTGTTGTACAGCCTAACAATGTTCAAGAACAACAAGTGAATGACCAATCACTACATGATGTTGTCCTTGATGAACCTACGGTAGTTAAACCACAAGGGATAGCATTAAGAAGATCTCAAAGAAAGACGTTATGTTATTCCTTATGATTATGTGGTTTATCTACAAGAGTCAAAAATTGACTTGGAAATCGATAATGACTAGATTTCAAATCTAGTTTCGTTTTCACAAGCCATGGAAAGTATTGATTCTGTTAAGTGGTTTAATGCCATGGAATATGAGTTAAAATCTATGGATCAAAA